ACGGCAGGGCCCCGGGGCCGACTGAAGGGGAGCAAGCGCGGCGGGCGGGGCCCTCGGGGGCCAGGACCGCCTGCCAAGAGCCTCTGTGCTGTCGGCGACGAGGCTGGAACTGGAACCTCACCTTCCCTCTTCCCGAGCTTTCCTCATTCCAGTACTTTGGCTACTTCCCACATCTGCCTGTTCAGGTTTTTAAACCTCTCTCTTTTTATTTTTTAAGATTTTGTATTTATTTATTTTTAGAGAGGGGAAGGGAGGGAGAGAAACATCACGTGTGGTTGCCTCTCACGCGCCCCCTACCGGGGACCTGGCCGCAGCCCAGGCCTGTGTCAGGGGACTGGGAATCAAACCAGTGACCCTTTGGTTTGCAGGCTGGTGCTCCATCCACTGAGCCACACCAGCCAGGGCTAAACCTCTCTCTTTTTAGAAAAATGCAATAAAATATTACATTGTCTCCTCAGAAGGCTGCGGGGTGGGTTGATGTCTGCAAAAGACATTACTAAATCAAATGCACTTTTTTTTTTAGAGTCTTAATAATAAATGTCAGACAAATATCCTGACGATGACGGGTTGCCAAGAAGCTGAAAAAAAGTTGGCATTAGTCTGCGAATACGCAGAGTAAACCCAAACCCACACGTAGGAAGACGACCCCGTTCTCATCTCAGGGGTCTGACAGAGTTAATGATGATGTCAAATGCGTTTTCAGGCTCATTTTTTCCGGCTTATTTGTGCGGTGAAGTTCTCTGCCTTGTGAAATGTCAGCGTGCTCTTCCGTGGGTGCCATTCTCATTTGGATGCACAGACGCAGCATTTCCACGGGCAACGTTCAGGTTCTGTGAGGCACATGCCGTTGCTTTAATGTCACTGTTCTCATGGGGACCTGCCAGCGGCACGTGTGAAGCAGCATGCAACACACGAGTGCTGCCCTTGGCCTTGCCCTGGATTCCGGGGCGAAGGCGGGGTGGCGCAGGCTCTCTAGTGCAGGGGCGTCTGTCGAAGCCCCGGGCACTTGGACGGCAGCCCCTCCCAGGCCCCCCGGGGCCACTGCCACAGCAATGACAAGCGCACTGTCCTCGCCCCTTCAGCAGCGTGCACCCTAAGACGGAAGCAGATGTTCGTTCAGAGGCGCAGAGTGTGCGGCCCTCGCGCTCCTGCGCTCGGAGCCACCCGCTGGCTTCGCGTGCTTAGCGGCACCAATCGCGGCTGTTGGCCTTGCGTCCAAACCCAACTTCTCTGAGCTCAGTTGTCTAACTGAGAAATGGGACCCCTCGGTTCCTAAGGAGGTAATAATGAGAATTAAAGGAAGTTTGTGGGGGGGGGAGGTTTTTCTTGGGGAGGGACAGAGAGAGGGGAAAGGATGGAGAGAGAGAGAGAAAGTGAGAGAAACATTGATCGGTTGCTTCTCGCATGTGTCCCCAACCAGGGACCGAACCCGCAATCCAGAAATATGTCCTGCCCAAGAATCAAATTCATGACCTTTCTGTCTGCAGGACGATGCTCAGCCAACCAAGCCACACCAGCCAGGGCGTGCCGACCATTTTTAGCAGGGCCGTGTCCACAGCGGCCCTCACGTGCTTTCTGCTGTCAGGACTAAGCCAGTTCTGCGTCTGCCCCCGGCCACCTGCGAGGGCCGGGACCGCGTCTCCCACCGTGGGGGACCACTCAGCATTTGGAGGTTGAACGGATGGACAGTGAACGGAAGGACCAAACTGACAATTGTCCAGGTCTGCCGCACAGGCTGTCACAATTGGCCCACAGAACGTTGCTGTCGGGCGGTAGAGGGCCTCTCTCATTTCACATATTTGGGAACGGGAGCCACAGACGTGACTCGCGGCAGAGCAGGGTTCAGACAGAACGGATCCTTGGTCTGGCCTCGAGTCTTCGGCCTCTAGGCCTCATTCTCCTCGGGCTCAGGCTTTTGTTTCTTTTTTCTGTCTCTGAATCCTCTTCACAATATTTTCTGTATTAGAGGGTAGTCGTTTGGCCTGTTCTTCTCGCTGTTTGGAGCATCAAAAGTTAAAGTAGGCAAAATATATCAAAATGTTAGCCCAGCGTAAGCCGTTGCCATTGTGGTCAGTAGTTAGTGGAATGCATGAAGTAGCTTGACTGTTTTGTGAAATTATTTTAAATGGGGAAAATAGTTTAAAAGAAAAAGGAGAGAAGAAAAACCTGGACAAGGGAGGGATAGAGGCTCTGACTTCTGAAGCATTTCTGGATCCCCAGCCACCTAGGGAGGTGAGGGGAACAGCTTTGGGAGGGTTCAGCCATTTCCTGAATTTCTGAGGCACGCTCAGCATACACTTCTGATATTTTATCACGTATTTTCAACTCTTGGCTAATAGAATTAGGGAGCTATCGTTTTAGCCTTATGTTTTACCTCCCCTTTCAATAATAATCCTGAGTTTCTAGGATAATAAATTCAGGAATTTTCTAGCTTATTATTTTTTTACCTCTATCAAGAACTGTAAGTTGTGTTCAGCTACTAAGGAAGTTGAAAAAAGAAAACACACAAAAAGGAACTTTGGTAGTAATGAAAAATTTAGTTATTGATAAATAGCATAATAAACAAGCAGAATCAACTGACATCTATTGAACAGTTAGCATGTGGATGAAACTAGGTGACTTGGTTTTATATGTAATATTTAATTTAATTGATTAATTTCTTCTTCAACAGTGTTTACTGTATCCCCACTATTTGTCAGGCACAGTTCCACTTACTAGACTTGTAATGATGGAAAAGTGCTTGACCTTGTAAAGCTTACATTCTAGGAAGGGAGGAGAGCAATGAAAAACTGACCAAGAAATTCTTGGTAAACTACAGATTATGGTAAGTTCTAGAAAAAATCACAACGTGAAAGAATTAACAGTGATGAAGTCTTGGCTAACTGATGCTGCTTAGATGAACAGACTGCTCCAAGAAACCTTCCCTGAAGAGCTAAATTTGAGCACAGGTATGAACTGACAGGTTGGCAGAACAGTGTCCCTGGACAAAGGAAGAGTCAGCACGAAGTCCCTGAAGGAGTCAAAAGCTAAACTGGGGCCAGACCGTGGGGACACGGGGTGAATGAGGCCCGTGGACCATGCAGGGTCCTCGGGCAGGACTCTGAGGAAGCGGCAGAGGTTTTGATATTCTCCTGAAGGTGACAGAGGCTCTTGGAGGGTTTGGGCTGAGAGGTCACACAACTGGGTTTACTTTTCTAAAGATCATTCTGGATGCTCAGTAGGGAATGCTTTGTCCTTACACAGTTAGCAAGATGGAAGCTGGTAGGTCAGTTAGGAGGCTCCTGTGCCCGTCCAGGCAAAAGATGATGGGAAAGGACATAGTTCCCTCATGATTCCTCCCATTTTTTGGAGAGAAGAAAGAGTCGAAGGCATTGCCAGGAGTGATGAGAGTTAGAGAGAGAGGAGCAGGGATGCGCTGTCCCCGGAGAGTCAGCGAGTGAATGGTCCATGGACAAATACTAGGATTGTGGACCCAAGGGGCCTGAAGTTTGCAGTCATGCATCTAACGTCGACAAGCCCACGTGGTGGCGTGTTTTCTACAAACACTTCGGGCTGCTCTGGTAAGGGCGCAGAACTGGGTTTACCCGTGAACGAGGTGAATAGTGGGGGGGTGAGGGATGGTACTGCTGGACCCCAGACCCCCAGCCTGGCAGGCGGCGAGGGCACGAGATGGACTGGAGGCGAAGCGTGGGTGTTGGTGGCTCTCCTGGAGTCTGCTGCGGACTGGACGCTTGCGCCCCTGCCCCGAAATCCATGTGTTGGAACCCTGTCCCCCGAGTAATGGCATCTGGCGGTGGGGCCTTCCTTTGAGAGACAATTAGGTTCAGAAAAAGTCATGAGGGGGCCCCTTGCGATGGGATTAGTGCCCTTCTAAGAAGACACCAGCAAGGAGCTCTCTCTCTTTCTCCACCACGTGAGGACAGAAGGCCACCACCTGCCAGCCAAGAGGAGAGACCTCACCGTAACCTGACCATGCCGGCACCCAGACGTCCAGCCTCCAGAACTATGAGAAGTAGCATCAGTCGCATACAGCCCCCAGACCCCTGTATTTTGTTACGGCAGCCGGGGCTGACTAAGACCTAACACGGAGCAGCAAGTGAAGCAGTGAGTAGAAAGTGGGCTGGGATCTGGCTGAACGCTGTCACCGCCTGAAAGAGAGGCGTTGGAGACCTCGACAATGACCCAGGGCGTGTGATTACGGAAGTGTGTTCTCTCTAATAGCGTAGTAAACTGTTTCACTTGTGCTGGCTGTTTTCCTCCGCACGTCACTGGTGGGTTGCCAAAATAATCACCAAGATCGGTGAGCCCCGGCACACCGCCCGCAAGGGTGGAGGCCCTGGCGCAGGTTGCTGGCCTCTGAAGGAGGCCAGGCTGTGGGGATGAGGCTGGAACACACCGCGGCCTCTGGGCTCTTTGAAGACCCCACACACCTGCCTCGCTCCATGCAGGCGAGCCTTCCCTCCCGACCGCAGTGGTTGGTGTCCCGGGGAGTCTCACTAGCACAGAATCCTCAGAAGAGGCTGTCATTCCTGCGTAGCAGCCATCTCTCCGTGAGTCCCCACCGTGGCCTGCTCCTCAGTACGGGATCCGGGGAGAGGCTGGCGTTCAGGCCATGGGGCAGGGCCCCGCAGGTGCCACCCTCCCCAGCAACCCTGAAGTTCGGCTCCTAGAGGGACCCAGGAGGCTTCCCGGGGCCGCGGCGCCCTATCTCCCCAGGCGCAGAGCTGCCGCATCCTGGGGCGCATCCCCCTTTTCTGATTCTTGACCCTCAGGCCTCGCCAGGGAGGTGGAGAGGGAGGGCGGTAGGGGGCGGAGGCCAGTCCTTGCAGCAACAGTTTGGAGGGGCAGGTGGAGGTCCCTCCGCGAGCAAATCAGGGCGCGGGAGCAGAGCGGGGAGGGAGAGGGCGACGGGCGGTGCACCGAGGGGCGGGGACAGGCGCTGACGGCGGGGGCGCTGCACGCGGAGCCCGCGGGAATGTGACATCAGTGCGCGGGCGCAGGCGGCTGGAGGAGGCAGCTCGCGGGGCCGCGCTGTGCTCACCTCGCCCGGGCAGGACGCGGACCGGGCTGGCGGCGGGATGTCGGCGAAGGAGCGGCCAAAGGGCAAAGTGATCAAGGACAGCGTCACCCTCCTGCCCTGCTTCTATTTTGTCGAGGTAGGTTGGCCCGGCGCCTTGGCATAATGCAGATCCGCCGGGCAGCTCGGGTTCTCGGGTCCCGGACCGGGAGCCAGGGTGCGCGCCGCGGCCCGGTGTCCCCGACCCTCCGCGTCCCCAGCCTTTGGGGCGCTCCCCGGAGTGCGCCTGGAACCGCCTGCCAGCCCGGGGTGGCCGGGGTGACCACCATGAGCCGTGTCCCTGCCCTGCTGGTGGCCCGCAGGGAGGAGATACCTGTGTGAGTGAGCGTGGGGCCAGTTCCCGGGGCCTCCTGCCGTGTCTGCCTGCGAGCACCGCCTCAGTGGCCCACGGGGGCCGCGGTGCCGGTATCTCGGGATTTGTGTCTTCAGCCTGCGAGCCTGTCACCTAGAATTCTGCGAGCTCTTAGGAAGAGCTCAAACGCACGCAGCCTTGCCCGGGGAGGGGGCGGGGGCTGAGGGCTGGGGATGTGTACGTAGGGTATGAGGATTATTGATTGCTTTATCATATAAAAATAATAATAATAATAAAACCTCTCTCCTGTCATAATTACTATGGTGCTCACACTGCTTCTAAATTTGGGTCTGCATCTCTAGGCAGCAATCTATTGGCCCTTTTACATGGACAGCAAAAAATTGTCTCTTGCTATACACATGCACACACGTATATCCATGCATGTGTGCACATATGTGAATATGTATGTATAAAGTGAGTGACATCATCTGATTTTACGTGGCTTGCCCACGAGCATCACCCTGTGCTGAGCTGTGTGACAGACGAGCAGTTAACCTGCAGACGTGTTCAGGAGGGACCTCGCACTCCCCAAAATGCAGTGCTGAGGGGGAACAGCCTGTGGGAGGGCCCTGAAGACGGGCAGGGACAGTCATTCTGTGCACTGTGGTCCGTTACAGGAGGAAGACATTTTTAAGCCAGAGGTCTATTACATCACAGGTAGAAAAGAAACGGACCGAAGAGGTTGAGTGACATCAGATGGCTTCAGGCATGACCCTGTGTTCTGTGCAGTCAGAGCCGGGATTGCACGGAGCATGCGAACGCTGTGGCTGAATTAGAAATATCTTTCCTTGGCCGTCTTTTCAGCCAAATATGGAGGCTCAGCACTTGCAGGTGCAGCCAGTAGATCCTGGATTTTTCGATGGCGAGGCTTCTCTGCGCTGAGGGGTGCTCGCCGCCTGGAAAGTTAGGGAGGGACATGGCAGGTCTTCCTGGGCAGCAGTGTGTTTGCCAGTTTCTCCTCGGAGTCATGCCTCGCCTTGAATGGTTTCCATTTTAAGGGAGATGCGTGTGATTTGCCTGAGTTTCAGAGGAAGGAAAGCCGACCCCTCATCCATGACCCGCAGGAAAGAAGCGCAGAAATGGTCCTATTTATTTAAAGTAATTAATTGAGTCATTTATTGTTGCCCTTCCTCTTTTCAGAAGGGATTTTGAGGCCATGGTGTAGGTAGTTTTGCTGAAAGATAATAAAGGGTTTTCTAAAGAAAAATGTGGGCAGCGGAAGAGCCCGCAATGGAAAGGGGAAGGAATAGGCGATGGGGCACCTGCCCCCAAGGTAACTCCCTCAGGCCGTTTGTCACAGCGCTGACCCACTGTGCCCTCTGTCAGGGGAATCGGACTGTGGGTCCCCCCTCCAGGACAGTACAGTGCACAGCCCAGGTCAGCCGCAAGCTGGGTCACAGCCGCATGGCTTCGGGGACGGTACTTTCCCGAGAGAGGGTGCAAACAGAGACTACGGCCATGCCTTCCAAGAATCCATGTGCGCCCTTCCAAGGTCCCGTTAACCGGAGTTCGCGTCCCTTACTGTAGACATTTTAAAAGTAAAAATGACTGATTATGCCTCTGACATGCATCTCCAGGCACAAACATCTCACCATGCGTGGAAATGGCCCAGAATCCTGACATTCCCTCGGACCCGGTCAGATCCCCTCTGAGAATTCCTCAGCGGGGCGAGCTCTGGGGCAATCGCTCGAAGACAAGTCATGGAGCTTGTCTTGGGGGTGAGAGCAGAAATGATCTCTCTGGAACTTGCGTGCGTGATGAAGGACCAGAGACCCTCTAGGGAACGAGAGGAGACGCGAGCACACGAGGGAAGGGGCGGGCGGGCTGCCTCACCAGGCTCCCTTGCAGTGACTCATGTGGGAGGCGCTGGGCGGGACGGTTGCATCTCCCTGGCGGGTGAACACATGCAGCACAAATCACCGTGTCGGGGAGAGGCTAGAAAGTAGCGGCGCTGCCTCACCTCGGAGCCGCCCGAGACCTTGCTAGTCAAAATGGAAACGCGAAGCGTGAGCGCATCTTCCATCACACGTCAGCCCAAAACACACGTGTGAAGCCTTCTCTGTGACTTCAGGTGGTAATTTAAGTAGCAAAATGAGGCCAAAAGGACCAGACTCTGAGGAGAAAGTCTCGGAGTCTCCACCTGGAGACATCACAGACAGTTCAAGTTGCTGCTCAATGTAGGCATGCGATAGGAAGAGACTTGACCCAGGAAACTGAGGAGCAACTTTCATTCAGACCAGAGGGTGCCGCGATCAGGTGGGACCAAACTGTGCCAGGGAAACAGCAGCAAGGTCTGCTGGGAACAGCCTGGGCCTTGCAGACTGGGCGCCCACGCACCCCCCACGCCACACACGACTCGGAAAATTCTGGCCGAGTCTCTTCTCTCAGCCTGTTTCTGCATACACGATAGAAATTAGATGCTATACTGTGAATACATATGTATAATAGAAACTGTAATACCCTCATCTTGGAAAACAAGGCGTGTCAGGCCTGAGACGAGCGCGCCCTCCTGGGCGGTAGTTCCTCTCCTCCCTCCTGACTGCCCCAGGACGGATGGCTCTGCTTCTGGGCTGGTCTTCGGGGTGGAGTCCTGGCAACGCCTCACTCGGGGGTTCCCACTGTTGGAAAGAGGCCGCCTCCCGCCCCTCCCCACCCATGTCTAGAAATGGCTTGGGTTCCAGAGCCTTCCTGAAACCGACCTGTCCTCATGGGGCCGAGCGGGGGAGTAAATATGAATGCGATCACTCTTTGTACAATAACAATGACAACACTTGCGACGCACTTCGTGCGTAGTACGACTTTGCCTGCACCATCTTGCTCAGCCTGCAAAGGTTCTCGTTCTGAAACAGCCCATTATTGCCATCCACGTTTCCAGGAAGAAGACGCTGCATCTCCTGGAAGTGAGGCAAAGCGCTCGGGTTTACAGGCCAGGCCCGGGGCGCAGCCGGGCGCTGAGTTACAGCTCAGGTCCTTACCCCAGGCGGCGGCCGTCTCCCAGCCTGCGGGAGGGACATCACCCGGGCGGCCACTTCCTGTGGCCTCCCACGGGTAACAACGGGGAGAAGCAGTGCGAGCGGGGACACACTCCACACTCGCCGGCGGGTGCGTCGGCCTGACAACAGCCCCTTTCCCAGCGAGTCCCTCCACCACGGGCACCTCTCAGCACAGAGTGGGCGGGCGGTTTACGCTCCTCCCCGAGTCGCCAGTCAGCAGCCAGTCTCCCCTCGCTATGGCCCCAGGGCTGGGTGCTGGGACAGAGCAGAGATGCCGAGGCCCGTGGTCCGAGAGTCGGGGTCTCCGATTAGAGAGACCCTGAGGGCATGAGGCTGACACGTTCAAGTGGTCCTGTCCTAATTCACCGCCACACTTGATGTAAAGCCAACATTCAGCCAGCAGGGCCCTGGCCGGGTGGCACAGTTTGGAGCGTTGTCCCACACACCGAAGCGTGGTGGGCTCCATCCCGGGTCGGGTACGTGCCTAAGTTGTGGGTTTGATCCCTGGTCAGGGCAGCTGATCCATGTTTCTCTTTCATATCCATGTTTCTCTCGCGCTCATTCCCTCTCCCTTCCACTATTTCTAAAAGCAATAGAAACATATCTTCAAATGAGGATTAAAAAATATAAAACATTAAGGTAATGGATTAAGAATTAACTTTCCTTACATCTTTGGCTTATGCTGCGAATTGACTGCTGATACAGAAGTCTGTGGTCGACAGTCATTTACATACAAAGGTGTTACACAGTGATTTGAAAACTACGGGATGGTTTCCAGCATGGTACCCGGCAATTCTGTTTTGCACTGTTCGGCTCAGGCAAAGAGAGGTCAAGGTGTAAAAGGGACTCTCAAAACGAGCCCATTCAAGGCCTTATCAGGTTGAACAGAAAAGCAGGTGAAAAGGAATGTTCCATTGAAGGAAAGGTGTCTCTTGCATTTAAAGTTCCACAGCACCCGCCATGTGACAGCCGTATCACTTACGGCGGCGGTTGGCTGCACACCAGGCTCACTCAGTGCAGGCCTTGCGCGCTGCCCAACCCAGCGTTCTCCGCGGCAGCCTGGCGTCTGCCTCGGGCACAGCGCTTCCTCCGGGCACAGCGTCCGCTGGGCTCACGCTCACACGTAGGCTTCCATCGGTCATCCTGTCCAAAGACAGGACTGCGCCTCAACCCGGTGGGCCATAGAAACAGATGGTGAGCTACCTTTTACTAACTAAGGGAGAGTGTCTTTCCACTTACACGTTGTGCTTTATGACAGGCATTTCCATCGCTAATCTAACGATCACCTTATGGAGGTAGACATGTGACCTATATGCAAAAGTATTTTTATACGACTATAGACACAGAGAGTATCTATCTCTTACACACACAGACACAGACACACACACACACACACACACACCCCCCCTCCAGTTATAGGCATGCCCAAATTCAGAGTAAACGTGTCATAGGTCCATAGCTCCCTCCAGTAAACGTAAAATAACAGTATCTGAGGCATCACAGATCCAGAATATCTTCCACACACAACAGTCTGGATATTACACAGGAAGTTTTCACTAATTTGAATGTGATGCTTAACAATGGATGTGCTTCCGGTGTTGTTACGCAGGTTGGTTGGTCACAGTGGGTCACTGACTAGATAGCGTGTTAGGGAATAGCAGCCGACCTACCTGGAGAAGCTCAAAGAGCCTTGGTTGGAGCAAAGATCCCTCCATAGTTCAATCTAGGCATCAT